CAGCCTCAGCCAGCCTCTGCTCATGGACGCACACAGACCGCACACACAGGGAGGTCTCCAGAGGCACTCTGGGAACCTGCCCACGCAGGCCTCACGGAGTCCCATCTGGCCTCCTTTCGATTAATATTTGTTCTTATCATTTCTTTCTTCTCCTTTTATTTTCATTTTATTCTGTTCTTTTCTTACTTCCAGAGTTGAACACTTAGCTCATTAATTGTGAATCTTTTGTTTTGTCTGTTTTAATTTGGTCAGAGACCATGTGCACTCACCAGAGCCGGAGTGAGGGAAAGGGGGGAAGAACTCCCCAGTGGGCGTGGTCACACCACAATCCCATCTCATTTCTCCATCTTGTCCAGATTTTGGGTACACCACACACACACACACACACACACACACACACACACACACACACATGTTTTTTGAGCTGCTAAGGCCAGGATTCTAACTGCATCATCGGCCATGCAGGATCCAGCTCCCTTAACCACAGGCCATAGGGCCAGCCTGGGTCCTCTTTTCTAATGTGGCTAAGTTATCAATTTCCCTCTGCTCACTCCTACTTTCTCACTCTGTGACTTAATTATCTTTCAGTTCTAAATATTTTCTGACTGCCCTGTGCTATCTTTAACTTTCAAATTAGCTAGTTCATGAAATTCAGTTTTGAGCTGTATGAATTTAAAAACTAGTTTCATGATTTATTTCTAATTTTTAAAAAGCATATTCACTTATTTCATTCATGAGCAATGGAGACAGAGGGAGAGAGAAGCACCTCCCATGGAGTCACTGATATACTGCATTCTCCTTTCGCTCCGCAAGATCCCGGGCACCTGACACACACACCTGGCAGGTAGTTTTTGTTTGTCTGTTTTAAGTATATAGGGCCCATAGGTGGCGTGGAGACTAAGGCATTGGATCCCACATGGCTGGCTGAGCAGTTTGAGTCCCAGACCCAGCGACTTAACCACACTGTGTGGAGGGACCAGCAGTTAGCGTAATGGCTATGTCGCTGAACTCCCACATAGTCGATCACGGTTCGAGTCCTGGACCCAGTGGCTTAAACTCACGCTGGGCGCATGTGCGTGCGTGCCCAAGATCCCAAGAGGAGAATGGAGGAGAGGGGATTACGATGTGGCCATCCCGCCTGGGGGCTGATTTATCGCTTTCTGTCTCTCTGTCTGTCTGTCTGGTGAGCACACGCACCCTATAGCAAAAAAACAAACAAACAAAAAAACCTCTCCAAAAAAAGAAAAAAAAACCCCACACTCTGTGTGTGCCCAAAATCTCTAAGTAGAAGAGAAGAGAGGGGATTGTGGTGTGGCCATCCCCTCTGGGGGGATGATTTCTTACTCCCCCTGAGCAAGCACACGTGTGTGTGTGTATACATACACACACACACATATATAATCCACATGAGAGAGGAAGAGAGAGGAGCACCCCGGGTCTGATCACACAGTGACCCCCTTCCGCCAGTCCTCCAGCCTATTGGACCCCGGCACTTGCATAGTCCCCAGGTGTTTCAGGCTGACTGGGCCGGGATTTGAACTGAGGTCACTGTGTGGCATGTGGTTTCTTTCTATTTTAATTTCAGTGTTTTTGTTTGTTTGCTTTTTTGCTATGGGGCGCATGCACTCGCCGGAGAAGGCGAGAGGGAAAGTGAAGAAGCACCCCTCAAGGAGGATAGCCATGCTCTAACCCCTTCCACTCCATTCTCCTCTCGGGATTTTGAACATGCACACACACGTACACAGTGTGTTTCTCAAGCTGCTGGATCCAGGACTGGAACCATGCGGATGGCCGTGTGGAATCCAGCGCCTTAACCACCACGCCACCGGCTGGCGTGAATCTGGCTTCTCTTGAGCAGTACATTACTGCTGTGACAGCTCTCGCTTTCATTACTTTCTTGTGAGTTTGAATCTTTAATTTCGTCTTTAATCATAATAAACGCTTGTTTTATATTCTCTTTGCCCTTAGTTCTGGGTTCTCTGAGCCTTGGCCTTGCACCCTGCTCACGGTGTCTGCCGACATGCTCAAGATGACCTCTTTCTGGGACCAGCAGTTAGCATAATGGCTATGTCGCTGAACCCTCATGTAGCTGACCGTGATTCAAGTCCCAGGCCCGGTGGCTTAAACTCACACCGGGCACGTGTGCGTGCGTGCCCAAGATCCCAAGAGGAGACTGAAGAAGGGATTGCGGCATGGCCATCCCCCCTGGGGGGTGATTTCTCCCTTTCTGTCTCTCTCTCTCTGTCTTTCTGGCGAGTATACGTGCCCTATAGCAAAAACCTCTCCAAGAAAAAAAAAGATGACCTCTTTCTCACGTACACTGAGGTTGGATGTTGGAACTCATCTCTGGAGGGGCTTGTTTTTCGTGTGGGAATTTCCTGTGGCTTGAGTGGTCAGGGTGGCCCTCCAGAGCTCTCCCCATCTGCTCTACCAGCTGGTCCAGGGTTACCCCAGCCTGGTGCCGATCTTCTCTTCTTGTCGCAGGAATCCCACACCCTCGTGCAGTACGCATTTGGACCTCAAACCCAACCCAGGCACAGACACAGGCCTCGGCTTTTTCAAGGGATTCTTTTTCAGCTCCCACTGCTCACTGCCCGTGCTGTAAGAACAAGCTTCCTTGTTATCTCCCTGCACCGGCTGATAGGATTTTTCTGGCTCACTTTTCACTGAGAGATCAGCCCTAAGAGCGTCTGGCTTTGTAGGGAGGCACAGTTCCAGCCCTCCACCTCCTGTCAGCTGAAGATCTTATCTCCAGTCTCAGCACAGAGGCCAGCTCCAAGCCCTCTGGTTACTGGATCTGATTACCCCTCCACCCTTCTCCTGTACCCCCTCCTGTGGAGACTGTGGAGCGAACCATGTGACCAGCACTGGGAGTTTCTGTGTCTGGCCCCTGGGGTACCTCTTGCATGCTTGCTAACTCAGCCACGCACTAACGATTTATTAATGTGTTTGGTCAGATTTCATCATGCATTTCTGTATTTCTATAGGGAGAAGTTTTTCTTTCCTTTTCTTTTAAATTTGCTAAAGGGCTCATGCACTTGCCAGGGAGAGAGAGAAAAGAGAAAGAGAGAAAGCAAGAAAGCAGCCCCGTTGGGGACAGCCACAGAGGGTCGGGTGCACATGTACATGTGTCCGGTGTGTTTTTCAAACTGCCAGGTCCAGGAGTCAAACCTCGCAGGTGGCCATATCCCAGTTGCCTTAACCCACGCCACTGGCTAGCCCGGGAGGTTTTTCACCCAACTCTAGTTAAAGATTTTGTCAGAACAGAATCCCTTTTATTAGTTTTTGCTTTAGAGTACATGCGTTCACCAGAGAGAGAGAAACAGAGACAGAGAAAGAGAGAGATAGAAAGAGAGGGAAAGTGAGAAATCATCCCAGGGGGGATGGCCATACTGCAATCCCATCTCCTCCACTCTTGTCTTGGTATTTTGGCATAAACACACGTGCTTGCTCCCATCATTCTAGAGACACCAGGTCCAAGATTCGAACCACAAAGCTGGCCATGCAGGATCTAGTGCCTTAACCTCCACACCACCTGCTGGCATCTTGCTTCCAAATTTAAAAAAGTCTAGGTACCAGCAGATGGCATAATGGCTATGTCGCTGAACTCCCATGTAGTCGACCGCGGTTCGAGTCCCAGACCCGGCGGCTTAAACTCATGTGGGAGTGTGTGCATGTATGCCCAAGATCCCGAGAAGAGAATGGAGGAGAAGGGATTGCGATGTGGCCATTCCCCCTGGGGGGTGATTTCTTGCTTTCTGTCTCTGTCTTTCTGGCGAGCAAACCCACCCTATAGCAAAAACCTCTCCAAAAAAAAAAAAATCTAATTAATACAATTACCATAGCATCATCAAACCAAAGCCACCTGCCCCCTGAACCACGGCAGAAGTGCACCCATGTCACTGATCCTTCCCTGCCACAGACTTGGGACTGAATGGCCACCTGCACTGCACGGAGGCAGGCCAGCTAGCCACCAGGACTGCTGGTGCTCCGGAACGTCAGTGGGAACGAACCTCTCCACGGAGCCTCTGAGGACAGCATCTGGTCTCTCCTGGCCAGGCCAGCCGTGGCTTCTGCTGCATGAAACATGCCGCATGGAACTCTGCGCTGGTGCCATCTTGTAGCAGCGTCAGATTTCTGGGTGTCACTGTGATCGGGCCTCTCCGCCCGTTTTTCTGTGTAAATGGGCAATGTCATCTGAAACAATGATTTATAGGACTGCCACTAAATAGCTAGCCAGTAAAATTGAGAATGGCCTGAGAGTTCGCACCCGCTTCTGGCAAAGATAAGGAATCTAGCAGACGGAGCGGATTGCGCCCTGTGGCACTGCAGACCCTCAGTCCTTCCGCATGACCGCTGCAGGGCTGTCGCTAGTGTCCTCGGTTTACGAGGGCCCTGGCTTGCTTCCCAACATGCACGCCACGTACTCATCCCCGTTTGGCTGTCAGATGGACGAGGCATAATTTGGCCAGGCCACACCCCTGAAAAAACCCGCTCAAGTGTCTTTGGGGGATGTCCTAAAGTTAGTTACGGTGACCGGTGACCGCCGCACAGCTGTAAGTATACTAAGAACCATTGAACTGTATACTTTAACCGGGGCATTAATTTTTATTGCCCGAGGGTATGTGCACTCATCACAGAGAGACAGAGAGACTGAGAGAGGGGGAAGGAGAAAGCACTTCCCCAAAGTGGCATGGTCACGCCACAATTCCTTTTCCCCCATTTCTCTATCCTGTTGGGATTTTCAGCATGTGTGTGCATGTGCCCAGGGTGTTTTTTCAAGCCACAGGACCGGGACCTAAACTGCTATTAGCCATGTGGGACCACTTTGTTAACCAATAGGCGTGGGAGGGACAGGAAGCAGTGTTTCACGGCGCCCATGACACAGGAGCGTAAACTTGCCCCCTCCGCCGATCCTGGCTGTCCCAGGGCTGAGCTCTAACTTCATGCTCTCCAGGAAGTTCCGAGGCCCTCTGCGAGTCCCGAAGTGTCCTGCTTACCTCCGCCTCTACCCTGCCACATGGAACTGACGGTCCCGGTTTATCAGTTTGTCCCCTGGCGTCTTGGTCATCTCTGCCTCTCCAGGACCGGTCTCGGCACCTGCTGTCCTTGAGATGCACAGCCAGAGTGTGACTAGCCCAGCCGATCTCACGGGGAAGCCCACAACAGAAGAGCCAGTACAGCTCGTAGGTGCTGCGTCAGAGCTCAGGAACGTGGTTATCACCCCTTCCTCCTTAGCTATTTCTTAACCTCGGATTTAGCAACTACCAATTAGCAATTTAGCAAGCACCACCTTCCTTGTCTTTCTGGAATGCTTCTCTACTTAGGTACCGTCCCCTTAGCGGGGAGGAAGCTAGGGGACTGTGCTTTCTAACTGAATGAAGGGGGGAGGGGGAAGGCCAATTAACATTCAGCTAAGAGAGAAAATGATTTCTCCTATCAGCAATAAAAACTGACAGCTCTATCAGAAAAGGAACTGGGGGAGCCACAAAGCCTGGCAAGGCAAGGTGGGGAGGGAGGAGTCTGCAGACCTAATCAGGAGTGATAAAGATGACTGAGGGCAGAGCCCGCTGCTGGGAGTCAGGGAGCCAGCTGGCAGCCAGAAAAAAAAAACCCTCCTGGGGAGGAGCCTGCCGCTCGTCCGCCTCCGCTCCTGTCTGATCCGGCCCAGGCAAGAGGCCGACATGGCTCAGTTTTACTCGGAACTTAGAGCCCCACTCTCCCATCCTAACGGCCTCTCCCTGCGCTCTCGTTTCCTCTGACCTTATCATAAAAGGAAGCCACGTGATGTCTATTTATGGGAGCGGATGGTCTGGGGAGAAGACACTCACAGAGCGCGAATTCCAAGAGCTGATGAAATTGCTCCGGCCTCCCGGATCGCTCCACGCCATGAATGAATAAGCGGGCGTGGGGGCAGGGCGGTGAAGTCAAACTGCCGGCGTCGGACACTCGGGCTCCTCCGCTGCCACATCGGTCATTTGCTATAGAAATCAGGCCTTGGAAACCAGGTCGCACTTGAGGGTGGGGGAGATCCCCTCATTGGGTAGTGAAGTATTGAGTTTTAAAAAACGTAAGTGAATCTTCTGTTCGAACCCCAGTTACATTTGGCAAAAAAAAAAAAAAAGAAAAAAAAAATGGCCAATGAGATTGGGACAGTCAGTGATGAAAAAGAGATGGGAGACCTGAGCAGATTGGATTTTATTTCATTTTATTTATTATTACTAAGTGCTATCTTATTAGTATTATTTTTTACTAGTTATTAATTCGCTATAGGGCACATGTACTCACCAGATGAGAGAGGGAAAGTGAGAAAGCAGGTTGCCTAGTCTGTGACTTAAATTGGGGTCAGCCATGTGGGGGTCTAGCACCTCAGCCAGCATGCCGCCGGCCGGCCCTGGTTGTCCACGCTCATTTGAAATGCAGGGAGAGGCAGTTGGGGTTGTTTTGCGTGCAGTTGTAGAGTGTGTGCTTTTTCTGATGTGCGACAATGAACATAAAGCTACAGGAACAAGTAACTCCTCCCCCAAGGCATCTGCACATCCCTCGCAGGACGCAGGACACAGGGACAGTCTGACTGAGCCGTGCGGGGACGCCCATTTCTCCAGACACTTGTCTTCAGCAGACACTAATGGGCAAAAGGCAGAGAGGTCCAAGGCCTGCCCTGACTGATGACAGCTCTGGGGCTGTGGTTTCCTGGATCACTCCCAAGTGCTTCCAAACTGGGACTTTTGATTAGGCCTCATGTCCAAAACTACTTTTTAAATTTTTTTGGAGAGATTTTCGCTATAGGGCGCGTGTGCTCGCCAGACAGACAGAGAGAGACATAGAGACAAAAAGCGAGAAATCACCCCCCAGGGGGATGGTCACGTCGCAATCCCTTCTCCTCCATTCTCCTCCCGGGATCTTGGGCATGCACGCACACGCACCCGGCGTGAGTTTTAAGCCACCGGGTCCGGGACGTGAACCGCAGTCGACTACGTGGGAGTCCAGCGACATAGCCATCACACTAACTGCTGGTTCACAAACTTTTTTATGATCGTACAGTAGGTATAACGAGGCAGCAAACTCATTGTCTTTAAGCCCGGAGAGTTGTTTCCGATCACATCGCCGTAAGCTCAGGTATGCTCATGGATGCTATGTTCTTAAGGATCATTAGAAGGCATCTTTCAAGATGCAGGGCTGATTTTTGAAGCTGACAGCAAGGAAATGCTAACCGTTGTAGCAGATGCGTAAATTTAATAGCAGAGCCCAAATGACGTGTTTTTCTCACCCACATAATTGACAACGTGTGTGGTCATGGTTGGGGGGGGTGCTTTCCTCCGCACCATGATCCGGGGACCCAGGTCTCTTCCATTTTTCTGGCTAACGTTTTATCATCTTAGCCTGACTCAGTCAATGGGAAGGGAGAGGGTGGAAAAAGAATATCTATTTTTTAACTTCACTGCCAGTGTGTGAGGCTCACTCAGTACTCAAAAATTAGTGAATGGAGCCAGCAGATGTGGTGGCTAAGGCAGCTGGATCCCACATGGCCCACTGCACAGTTTGAGTCCCAGACTCGGTAGCTTGAAAAACATGCCAGGCATGAGTGTGTGCATTGCCAGGATCCCAAAAGGAGGGAGAACTGGAGAAGGGACTGTGGGGACCCGGTGGCTTAAAACTCACGCCGGGTGCGTGTGCGTGCATGCCCAAACATTTCCCTGGGGGGTGCTTTCTCACTCACCCCGCCCCATCCCCGTCTCTCTCTGGTGAGCGTACATGCCCTCTGGCAAATTAAAATGTATGGTGAGAGTATGAGGCTCTGCATGGCTGAGGTCCGGAGGCCTCCCTGGGGCACTAGGCACCCGCTAGGCGGGGGCAGGGGTGAGGGGTGGATTGCAGCAGTGGGACACTGTTGGGGGTACTATTTCTCACTCTGTTTCTCTCATTCTCTCATAGAAAGGGTAGATAAAAATTTTTGTATGGGTAATCATTTTTGAGGGGAGGATGAAATGTTCTGAAATTAGATAATGGTGCTGTTACTAAAATTTAAAAAAAAAAATTAACGCCATCCACCATGGCTAAAGAAGATAAAGCATATGATCATAGCAGTGGGTGCGGGAAAAGTATTTGACTTGCAAATCAAATCCACAGTGAGGTAGCATCTCAGCCCAGTCAGAACGGCTATTATCAAAAAAGGCAGAAAGTAACAAAGGCTGGCAAGGATGTGGAGAGAGGGAAACTCTTACACACTGTGGGGATGTTTGAGGAGATCTTCAAAAAGTTAGTGTGGAAATGAGTTAAAGTACCAAAAAAAGTGCAGGAAAATTTAAGAACCACGCTTAGTTTTCCCATAATATGCACTTTCCATGGACTTTCAAAGACCCCTTGTAAATGAGTAGAGCCGTTATGGAAAGCAGCAATGGTGTTTCCTCCAGAAAATAGAACCAGAGCTACTCTGTTGTTAGGGTGATCTCCACAGTGTGTTAGGGAGGCCTTGGTGTGGAGCTGGGAAAGAACTTGCAGACTCAGAGAAAGAGGATGGAAAAGAGTTTATTCACTTTCTGAACACAGAAGGGCCGGGTGCGGAGAGGTGAATGGACCTGAAGGGTCGGGCAAGGAGCTTTGGGACGTCAAAGGAGCCGTGGCTGGGTAGTTAGGGTGGCCCCTCTGCTGGTCCGTGGGTGTTTGGTTGGTATCTCTGGTTGGCACGTCCAACTGCTGTAGTCTCCGTGGATTCTGCTCCTAGGTGTGCCAACTATTGACAGATGTTACAATCTTTCTGTCCGAGGACAAGGACTTAGGGAATACGAGGTCAGCCATCTGCGATGAAGTCAAGAAAGCACCAACTAACTTGGGAAGGAAAGGGGAGGAGAAAGAACATCTGAAGCACCGGGGAGTTTAGATGGGCTTTCCAAGTAACATACGTAAGGTGCCAGGTAACCCTTTGTCGATCCTAAGGCTTGGGGAACATTTACTCCTCCCATCTGTGTCCCATCTGTGACCTAGAAATCCCACGATGAGGTATACCCAAAGGAAAGGAAATCAGTGTCAAAGAGGTACCTGCGCTCACACTTGTCGGAGTACTGGTAAAGAGGTACCTGCGCTCACGCTTGTGGAGTACTGGTAAAGAGGTACCTGCGCTCACACTTGTCGGAGTACTGGTAAAGAGGTACCTGCGCTCACGCTTGTGGAGTACTGGTAAAGAGGTACCTGCGCTCACGCTTGTGGAGTACTGGTAAAGAGGTACCTGCGCTCACGCTTGTGGAGTACTGGTAAAGAGGTACCTGCGCTCACGCTTGTCGGAGTACTGGTAAAGAGGTACCTGTGCTCAC